TCAAACATTTACAAATTTAGGAAATTTGCTTGCAGCACTCGCAGAACTGTATCTTTTGATTAGGCGGCACGATATTCAATTTGACCACCTTCATTCATTCAACTCGAAAACGCATTTCAGAATTTCGATTTTTATTTTATGAGCTACGAAATTTACTGTAGTCTAATGCACCTTTGGTCTTATTATTTTGATTTTTTGAGTGGACTAGATACTCAGCAAGCCTTATAGGAAAGAAAACACTATGCTAAATCCTAACTGTAATTGTATCCAGTATCTGAAATATCTATGAAATAATAAGACGAAGGAAAAGTTCTCTTAATACTAACAAAATGGCATGCTTACGATTTTACCTGACAATTATTTTTATATTTATTAGTCGCAGCTCTAGTCGCTTCTTGCGTTTTCGCAATTTGAGACTTCATTCAAAAAGTTGGTCATTGTAAACAAAATATTAATACTTTTATATTTCTTTTAAGTCTTAAATTCGCTTACGGTTGCTGTTCCTTTTCCTATCCAAGTTTTCGTACATGCGTTAATACCAATTTGCGAGTGATTATCAGTCGTATGTAAATTTCGGCAGTTTGTCCAAACCAGCGAAGAATCACTGATTTCTTGTTACTCAGCCCAAATACATCCAGCGAAAAGCTAGAATTATAATAACCGATCTTCAATTAAAGGAAAAAAACAAAGTAAGTATTTTAAATAAAAATATTTTTGTTGAAAATACCACTTACCGTAGGGACAGAGAACATGCTTAAAACGAAAAACTTCATGTCAACTAACTAAACGCCGTACTCTTATTTTGCGATCACTTTTGAATAAATGAAAAAGTTCCCGTTCCAGGTATCTGCATGGATAAGGAAGTAGACGCATCGAGCACCGGATCAACTGATTTAATGTGCTGAGCTTTCGAGCTCTTACATGAGTCAATCTTCAGAGCTAAGAAGTAGCAACCAAAAGGAGGGTAATTATAGTGGTCATAGGCCAATCAACTGTCAGAGGCCATCAGAGCGTCAAGGGGTTAGAAACACCAACCGAAAGGGATTGACGTATGGGGACAATTATAGTGGCAAACACTTATTAACTGTCAGTGAAGTCGGCGGTCATTCGAGGTCATAAACAGTAATTATTGTAATGCCTTGTCTCCTGGGCAGAGGGTCCCGGTGATCCTGCCTCCTCTTGTGGTCGGTTCATCGTTGGGTCCTCTTCGTTTGAAATTTTGACTTAAGGTTTGATCTTGTCCCATCATTTGCTTACATAATGGCTTAAAGCTATGTAGGCCGCGGGGAGGTCTAGGTGCCTGTTGACGGAGTTGACATCTGACTACCATGCCTCAAGTGTCAGACTTCCGGCTTTTGAGTTTCCACGGCCTACGATGGTTGCTGCTTGAATATCAAAGTCGTGGCCGGTCTCTCAAATGTGTGCTGCAAGTTATGAGATTGGGTCAAGTCTCCGGGCCGCCACTTTGTGTTTGTGTGGGCGGATCTGCAATTCTTGGCCTACTTCTTCTGCATAATAAGAGTCTCCATCGTTGCAACGTATCTTGTAGACAACTGCAGAGGATTAGGTTGCATCACACGGCGACGTATTGTTGTCTGAGGTCGATAAGCTATGCCTACTCCAGCGAAATCAAACTCGCATACTTTAGGACTTTTGCTTACTTAGAACACATACACACATACAGTCGATTGTCTACCTCATGAAATCCAAGGATTTTTAATATGAAATCCCTGGTACACCAAAGCAGCCCAAGCTGCGTCCCCATAGTCTTACAGTGTTAAGGGAACGATCCTTATTACAAAGTGTAGAGGAAGTGCTTTCATACAAAAGATACGTTGGACTAAGAGGACCAGGTATTCGTTTCATTGCACCGACTGGAAGTTCACAGGAGTAAGGTATTTCGTTAGCTCACATATGGACATGCCGGTCAGTGAATAATAATTTTAAACGGAATTGTCATGAGCAGTCGTAAACGTACCGTGTTGTGTACATTAAGACAGATGTCTTTCCGTCATACTTCATTTGTGATTATTTCTGTTGTTTGATTATAACGAGATACAGATCGTTCTTGAATGTTGGTGAAAGACTTACGAGTTGCGGTGCTTTCTGGTGATTGTTCATAAATACAGCTTCTGTTCTACGTGTTTGCTAAAAAACTACTAATAGCATTCACCTAAATAGTGAGTTTTAAGACATTCTTTCTGATGCAGTTGTCTGTTTAAATCATGATTTTTGCAATCACCGAAAGACGTCAACTCATTGCCAAGAAAAGTGAACGTCCCCAACAAAAGTCACAAATGTATATGCTTACATTTATTATAGGACTTCTATAACAATAACCTTTGGATTTTGAAAACTGCCGCCCATAGTTCTCTTCAATATACTGATCTGATCTGAACTCTTTTCTGGTAAAAAGCATTTTGCGCCTCAAGTCAATTCAATGGGCAAAATAAACAACCTCAAATGTGTGTTGAGCCACTCCATCAAGTGTGGATGTTCACATTTCACGAGTTAGGCAGTCTACTCTATACACATTTATTCGTAACTGCATCTTGTCTTAAACTTACGATCGCCGGTAATCAAGACTTCCTTCTGCTCAGCCTCGTATCTTGTGATGGCCCGTTTAATGACTTCTCGAAAGCGTTTGGACAGGTAGTAGGGGCGGTAGAACTCGCCCAACAGTTGTCGGACAACGCGACCAATGTCCCGCAGCATGACCTGGAAGGCACAGAGGGGAGAAAGTGTTATAAGGGAAATCACGGTGAAAGAAAAGTGGTTTTGCTATGGCCATGTGATAGAAACCGTTGAGCGGCGGAAGCTCCATAACCTGTTATTAACGTAAGAGATAAGACGGAGTGTGGCGCATTTGTTGCTTACATCTTTGCAGTATAATTCTTACTTTATTATCTGAAAGAAAGGGTCCCTTATTCTATTTATCTCTGAAAAGATAACGTTTGCATAACAAAGTTGCCTGAAGTTGAAACAGTGTTGATCAGACCGGATCCTAGAGGATGGCAGTTGAATGAGTGAGGCTTCGGGATTCGGTTGTGCTGAAGTGACCTTTAATGTCATCGGTTTGGGTTAACAGCTGTGCTCTTCCCGTTTGGAGGCTGTGGTACAACTGGCTGACGGTGAAGAATCAACTTTAAATAATTACCCAAGTCCCCCTTAACTTTGGCCCCTAAAATGACAAGTTTGAGTGATTATATATGGATGACAATAACTATTGATATGCACATGAAACACTTGAAGGTAAAAGAAGTTCAAATGCATGTTCCTCCACATAAATGGATAGAAACTTTATGCGTAATGCATTTGGATTGGTATGCATAAGTTAATAAGACTACTCCGCGATTACAGCAGGCATTACCCATATATCCACGCTTTCTACCATCTTCGTATCAGAGTTAACCGTGGGCAGGCATGTATTTCATTCTAAGTGTTACTCATACCAGTAGCCGTCCGCGGGTCGCATATACCAGTCAGGGGTGACGGTATGCGATTGGTTCTGCGTCACGCGAATCTTCATAACTCTAATCATAAAATTCAGAGGGTTAAAAACCATCCCATTAC